AGGTCAACACACTTCACATAAATTGACTGAACTAAAGTGGTTGAACATGTATAACCGAAGACAGCTGCACTTGGCCTGTCTATGCTTCAATTTACTGAAAACAAAAACTCCTCCTTATCTTCATGAGAAACTTTCATTCAGAACAGATGTACATAACTTGAATATTCGACGACAAACTCTTATAAGTATACCCAAACATTCAAAGGCACTGTTCAAATGCAGCTTTACATATGCTTCAGCGGTCTGTATCAATGATATCTTCAAATTCTTCAAAATGAATAACTCGTTTCTAGAAATTACATGTGAAAAATTCAAAATTATGTTTAAGAAACACTTACTGAGCGTTCAGTGACCCTCTCTATCTTTCTCTCTCTCTCTCTCTCTCTCTCTCTCTCTCTCTCTCTCTCTCTCTCTCTCTCTCTCTCTCTCTCTCTCTCTCTCTCTCTCTCTCTCTCTCTCTCTCTCTGTCTCTTGTTTTTTGTTTTGTAAATTGCATATATATGTATATATTATTTATATAATTCTTGCCATCAAATAGGTAATTTGAATTATTGAATAAAGGTGTCGGTGGAAGAACAGATTTGGCTGTTGCTGAAAGCTGAACCGAAAACCTGTTACCTTTATAATTATTGTATTTGTATGTATTGCTATGTAACATAATTCTGATGGGGTAATAAAAGTATTATTATTATATTATTATTATATTATTATTATTAAACAGGGCAAGTGGAAAAGTGAATTTTCTCACTGTATATTATTGCATATTTCAATAGATTTGTTTTTGTGATATGAAATATTCAAATATGCATGACATTAAACATTTTTACCGTCATGCATGTGGGAAATACTCTCGGAAATACTTATATTGATATATTTATCAAACTATCGGTGAAGGCAAATGTGTGTGTGGATCGAGGTGTGGATTGAAGTAGAGTAAATATCTCACAAAAGGGAAATGGGACAATCTATTTTCAAGAAATTACCGAGAAAACGATATTGAATATAGGATAATCCCTACATCGGGTATTCATGAGGGTAATCTGTAATCTATAAAGAACTAGATGTCAGGAGGCTGTTTATAATAATGCTCTATAACTCTATTTATTGTCATTTATTTTTATATATAAATTACCTACACTCTAAGAAACATGTCTATCCCAGTATTTCTTTCTCTACATTTTCTGGTCATTCAGAAGTATTAGGTATTAACTAGGAGATACAAGCAATAGACAGGAGGGATTCGTAGGGAATACAAGCAATACTGGTTTTAATGCCCATTAACAAGAAATTCTGGAAATAAATATATTCAAAATTTTCTGAAAGTATTGCCGATTTGGCAATACCTGTACATTTTTCAACCAGTGGTTCACCCCTGGACCTATACTTCTATCTGCTAACACGAGTGCTAACAGTAAGTAGTTTCTGTTTAGGCGATATTTTAGCTAATCTTTGCCAATTTCAAGAAACACATGCACAGAAAGAAATAAGTATTATATGGTATGGAATACAGATATGTTTAGAATTGTTAATACAGGCATAAGAAAAAACGAGTGAAAAACTGTTAGGTAGGTATTCTAGTCCTAAGCTGGGTCATAAGGCATTAATAATAATTTTCAGCATTTAGGCATTAGTCAGCAATATCAGAAATATATCGGCTTTCCGACAACTTGACACTTAATTTTGGAGCTTGTTCTCCCCCTCGAGAAAAAGTAATTTATGAAAAGCGACATTTTATAACCTGTCAACAGGAAGAAATGTCAAACTTTTTTCCCTTCACAGAAAAAAAGGTAGGTATTCATTTATTTTTCCGATTGTTGGTACTCAAAAAGCCCTAGCTAGGTAGTATCAGTAGTATCTCTACCACAGTTTAAGAAATCCAATCCATAGATTCCCTAAACTGTGACAGAGATAAGTTACCCACTTGTGTAACTTAACTTATCTCTGACTGTGACAATGAGGGCGATTTGCATGTTGTCTTTTCAATGGCAGACACAAGATGGGACAGACAAGTGGTTCGGGCAGACGGGCAGACACATTATCCACCTTGAGTAGACAATATGCAGCTGGATAGGCAGTAGGCAGTACCCAGCTCAGTATGCAGTACCCAGTCCCTAACTACCAAAACGAGTACCAAAATATACAATGAACATGACATCGGTTGCATGCGTTGTTGCACACATTGATAAGTTGAAATCTCGGTTGAGAGTTGAGATTGTTGAGAGGGGTCAAGATGCATCTGGTTACTGGCAACTGCGGTAACCTCTTACGAAAAAGAGGTTATATACTGTGCTGTGGTAGTTTGGTAGTGTATAATCACTAATTTGATTTTGGTCGCTACCACGGCTACTCACCCGGTTACATTCTAGCGCCTCGGCTGAATGTTCCTCTATTTGTCGAAAACAGTTAGCACATTTTGTCTTATGGAATATGTTCGGACTGAACTTCTTGCACTGCGACATGTTGCACTTGACTAAAAAAACTCTTTGTTTATTACTTGTTTGACCGCGGGCGAAATTCACGGATCGAAAGCAATTTCGACGGTATAACGAGATTGTTCGCCATTGCGACCTTTCCACTTAACAATATCGACATCACTCTTCATATCAAACGGATAAATATAAATAGCACTTCTCACAATGGTAATCCAGAAGAAAAAAACTTTCATTCCACTGAATAGTTTCTCATTTTGCGTATCTTCAACTTATCATGTCCCAACTTCATAATCAAACATAACGAACTGTTATTTAGATCTACCAGCTCAGTTCTGCTTTCTGCTTCTACTTCTACTTACTAGTTCCACTCTACTTCTAACTTCTACTCATTCACTTGGAAGACTTGTTACAGTGTTGCCGGACGCCCTGAATGAAATTTCTCAGCTGACCAACCAAAAAATCTCTGCTTTTCATGATTATTTTTAGGTACGATCAGGCGTAAAGTAGCACTTTACCGCCCTGTTACCATGGTAACGTCGATATTCCTCACTGCAGCCATGATGTATTTTTTATCGTTTTTGAGAGGTGAAGAGGTATTCACATTGAAAAATCGAATATACCGGTCGTGTATTTCGGGCGTAACTTGCTCTCATGGACCTAGGCGTGTTCCCAGCCAACACATCTGTGACATGACATCTCGATCTGAGATGTCGCGTTTAGGTAACAGTGCGATATCACAAACGTTCCCTCGCTGCGATGTTCAAAAGCAAACACATCTGCAACATGACATCTCTGAGATGTCGCGATGAGGCAAGACTGCGATATTACGAATGTTCCATCGCTGCGATATACAGAAGCAAACACGAACATCTGCGACATGACATCTCTGAGATACAGCGATGAGGCAACACTTCGATAATACGAATGTTCCATCGCTGCGATTTACAGAAGCAAATACATCTGCGACATGATATCTAGGAGATGTAGCGATGAGGGAACACTGCGATATCATGAATGTTGCATATTGCTGCGATGTAGAGAAACAAACTCATCTGCAAGAATTTTTCAAAAATTTGTTATATTTAGATTCTTGATCGGTGAAAAAGAATGCCTGAATATACGTTACTCAAAAAAGTGCAGTTGAATTCACTAACAACCGTTACATTGCTATCAAACTATTTTTGGTTTGCTTATATCTCGCCGACACACACTACATAATTTTTTATACAAATACATGTAACTGATCTCATTCTGATAGAGATTCGCAGGTACCAAAGATACCGCCGCTGAAAAGACGATTGAATGGACAGGGGACCCGAAGAACCACCAACCAGTTACAACAACACATAATTAATGTTAGATGTCATCCAAAGTCAGTGGTGCACCTATTATCAGACCATGTTTGAAAAAACTTTGTTCATTTTACGCATTACATCGTAGTTTTATCGCAAAAACACATCGCTTCTCCATCACAAATAACATATCGCAATTGCACAACAATACTCTCTGTCTCACACTTGGGCAATAAATATTGGAAATCAGTTGATAAGAATCATCGATATCAGGAAACAAGTTTGAATTGAAAATTTTCATCCTGTATTTCAATTATAGACGAATTCTTGAAAACGTTCCAAGTTAATAGTCTAAAATAAATAATGGCTATCGAGAAGGCCGTTTCTGATTCTGAATATACTGATTCGAATGGGTCATGGTTTTAGTCACCATTTTTGATTTTTTTTACTGAAATGAGATTTTGTCCTATTTTCTTATTATCCTGTTTATCCACAATAGTGCTTTTTTCTTCTTTCATTGTCCTCCACAAAACATGAGAACCGTTCTTTCCAATAGTCAGCTCAAGTGGAGTTCTAGAGAAAAAATTCAAGAAATGCAAGACTTTCGAAAAAAAATCGAATTTTTGTTCCAATGGCCAATTAAGGAGAAATCACGAAAATGTCCCGAGATGAGATGAGGTCCCAGTGTAGCATAATATGACTAACTTTTGATCAGAAAAAAATTTCTCGAGTTCTGGCAGCATTGGAAATGTATAGATCATAGTGTAATGGTTCCACTTTACACCCTGTGTAAGTTTTGTTCTGCGGACTTTTTCAGAGTGTTCTAGCTCTCTTTGAAGCCGATGAAATATATCACATCTGATATCGAAAACCGCATGAAGGGCGATCAATTTTTTCAAGAAATAACAGGTCTTCGAAATAGAGTCAATTTATGAGTGGTCCATTTAGTGTGTTGAGAACTGTAATTCATTTCTTGAAGGGTTTAAAAAATCCGGAATTCGGGAAATTTTCCGGAGACTGGCAACACTGCTTATTAAAATCAAGATAGAAAATAACACGTCGCCCCACCTGACGGCAACAACTTGAACACTTCTGAACGGTTTGTTTTGATGATATTCGTAGATATTATGACCAATAAGTACAAACCAAATAATGTGAACCAATGAAAACAAAGTAAACATGCTGCTTTGACAGCCCTTGCTCACCTCATCTTTTTTATTCACACATGATGAACAGAAACAAAAAATAAAATCGTTCTTATTGGTTGAAGACTTGTCAATGTCATAATTGTCATATCCAGTTGTCAAACTTGTTTAATTTGAATTAAGGAATTGAAAAATTGAAATAATTTTTATAATTTCCTGATTCTCTTGTGGGTTGGGATTCCGGTATCGGAAAATGTGTTATATTTGTTCTTAAATCACCTGAGCTAGGCTTAGTTTACAGAATTTGGTCAGAGTCTCTGGCTCTCGGTGTTGGTGGTGGGAATTATATAATCTGATGATTTTTAGAAAATCCAAGTATTGTATTAATTTCCTTCAAGATGTATGAAGAAGGAACAAAACACTATTCACTGTTCCAGCAATAATCCTGGGCTGAAAGTATTTTCACTTTATCTGCATCTATTTCTCAACTCCCTAAAATTTCAACAATGGATGCAGGAGGTGACAGGTATTCTTTAGGAAAGCTTTTGACCTATTTTAGAGTTTTCTCACACAATTTTTTTCAGAGCATTACACTCGACCAACATTGCATTAATTCGAGAGGTCTATGATAGTGAATATTCTCCACATTGTTTTTCTATGGAACTGGAAAAAGCCCTAGACAGCCATTGTTCATATATTGTTATTGAACCAACACAACTTGGTGATGAGACAGCTAGATGGATAAGCTTTGGGAATTATCTACACAAAACTGCCGTAATTTCAGGTTTAACATCAATTATATCAGGTTTAGCTTGGCCTGATAATTTTGCTCCTCAAGCCCCACTTAGTATTCTTTCTACCCTGTGCACAGGACTTTATACAGCATCTTGGCAATTTGATCATTGTGTTAAATACCAGGTAACTTCAGTAACAAGATTTTATGAGTATTTGTATTCTTGAGGAATTTTTAGGTTGAAAGGGATCCTAGGAAACTGGCCAGACTACCAATACTAGGAGCCCTAACTGCTGCCTCACCTGTTGTGTTAGTGCGTAAAGATGATACAAAACGTAAAATATTACATTGTACAGTCTCTTTGGCAGCAGCTGGTCTGTGTATATATAGGTTATATTGGACTATCAAGTAAGATTATGTGGTTATTTTGTGAGATAGTATATTACTGTTAGAAGCACCTCCTTTGGTGAGCATTCATATTATAGTTCCATGTGAGTTGTTTAGAAGAGTACAGAGATAGACAATATATTTTTGATTTTTATGAATATTTCAGAATGTATCCACCATATTGAATAAATTGCAACCTTCAAATGTTGATTGATATTTACTCTTCATTCATATTCCATATTAAATGCCTTGAGGTAATTCAGAGACAATAGAATTATAGAAATTATCATGCAAAAAGCCTCTTCATGTTCATAATTATATCTGAGAATATCCCTTGTCAATCCTTTAAAGACAACTATCAAATACACAGGAAAGTCAAATGCTATGGACTTGAAATGATGAATGATTTGTAATATACCCCATTCATCTATGTGCATGAATACAGGGTGTCCATAAAAGATTCTCAATATCTAAATGATCCTTGGAATATTTTCATTTGCTGATTGCTTCCTTTCACTTATGAAGAATCAAAGATTTGTGTTTTCTTTGTGAAGCTGGCACATATGGAAAGAATATTTCTACAATTAATTATAGTAACTAGATTCTCTGTGCACTGGTTGAAATAATTTCATCTCACAAAAACTAGAAGTGCTTTGAATAGCAATTGGAATTCTGCAGAAAAGCTCTGAAATTATGAAAACTTTATTAAACAATATAAGTAATAACCCAACTCAAATATATGTGCAATATTTAAATACCTATAACAATTATAAATAAAATAACTTTTTGTGAACATTTGGTAACCTACCTCATTTCTTGTAAGAAATTACCTATTTTATATAAGAGGCAGAAAGAAAACTTGTATAATAAGATATATTGGTGAAAATTTAGGAATTATTGAAATATATACAGGGTGTTTGGTTTATGACAAATATCTGAAAGGGGGTGATGAAAAAGAACATCTTGAAAATATTTAATAATATCTAGATACATACTATTATATACAAAGTGTTATGCATTTCCAGATATCGTTTTTCCGATTTTTAATGAATTTGGTGGTCCATATATAGGATTATAATAGAAGTTTTGTAAAACATTTCAACTGCAGATTGTGTATTTTTTTAAGGAGTTGGGTACCTATTATTTCATTGATATTGAACCATATACTGATTAATATGATATGATTTATATGTATTGAACACACAATGGGATCTCAATGTAATAAAAAATGTTTTGGCTACTGCGAATTTATAAGCTATGATTTCTGGAAAAGTGTAACACTATAATAATTACAAGTTACAAGGTTAAATATGTTCAGAATCACATTACCTACTACCTTCTTCCAGATATATACATCAGGAACCAAACACCCTGTATATATGCTTTTTAGTATTCATCAAATTTTGATTCATGCCAATTGTAATGAAAATGCCTGGGAATACAATTGTTAATGGACATATGTGAATGAATACTCAGCCAAAATGAATGCAATTTCCTGTGTACATTCAATTTTTCATAGACTTTTTTGCCCTTTGAGCCATAATATAAAAATACACTGTTGGCAGGTATTTCCTCAAATATATGGCCATCTATTCTTTGGTAGTAGTGATATATCAGGGAACCAAACACCCTGTATATTGTATATGCTTTTTGGTATTCATCAAATTTTGATTCATGCCAATTGTGATGAAAAAAATGCCTGGGCCAATTGTTGATGGACATCATATGTGAATGAATACACAGCCAAAATAAATGCAATTTCCTGTGTACATTCAATTTTTCATAGACTTTTTAGCCCTTTGAGCCATAATATAAAAATACACTGTTGGCAGGTATTTCCTCAAATATATGGCCATCTTTGGTAGTAATGTTGATATGACTACCTCATTTTTCTTCATAGCTACTGCTTTGATTATCTGCATTGCCACAAATTTAGAACTGTAGCCAGTTTCTGTAGTATGGTCCATTTTTCCATAAGTACTTCCTGATCCAGTCAGAGCATTCAAAGATAGGTTTGTTTTAACATAACCTGGACTTGCAACAGTGACAAAAATATTACTAGAAGTAACTTCTGCTCTCAGACTATCACTGAAAGCTTGCAGGGCATGTTTAGAAGCACTATAAGCTGATCTTTCAGGTAAAGATACTAGTCCTTGTATGGAGCTTACAAAAATGATGTGACCTTGTTTCCTTTTGATCATGTCAGGTAAAACAGCTGAAAACATAAGATATATGTAGATGTATTTTAAAATTGTAAAAATTCATGATTTCCTACCTTTAGTCAGAGCTACAGAGCCAAAATAATTCACCATCATTATGTTCATATCAACCTCATAGCTGGTAGAGAGTACTGTACCTCTATGAGATACTCCTCCATTATTCACCAATATATCTATTTTTCCTGTTATAGACATGATCTTTGTTACTTGATCTTTCAAAGTATTTATGTCAGCTAAATCTAGAGGTATGATAACAGGGGGATGAGTTTGAACAGTCCTATGGGAATGTAATAAGTCACTTCTAACTCTTTCTAATTCTTGGCGTCGTCTTGCACATAAGACTACCTGGCATCCTTGTTTATAGAACCCATGTGCAAGTGCTTCTCCTATACCTGAACTGGCACCTGTTATAACAACCACCTAGGAAAATGAACAATATGATGAGACTATAACTTAATAGATACATACATGCATACCTTCCCAAACAGTTCATTGAATCCTTTTTGTAAGTACAGTGCCTTGAACACTCTGAAAATTATCCATGGTAATGAAAGGGCCAAAGTTAGTGAACCAACTAAACTGAAGGATTCATACAGTTTTTTTGTGTCTTTCAGTTTGTTTTCTAATGCCATTTCAATTATCTGTCCTATTAAATGAAACATTGAAGATTAAATTCTCACACTTGAGACACAGTTCAGAATGTTGAAAGTGTATCTGGAATTTGAGCTAACCAATCTGTCCATATTATTATTTATATTTATGATCTCATCTCAAATTGTATTCGAATTCCAACAAAAGCAACAACAACAACAAAATGAACTAATAACAGTAATAACACAATAACAGACAGACAAACAGAGCAATGAGCAAAACAAAAACAGCAGAGGTTAACAGGTTAACAACACCTTTCTTCTTCCCTTCCTGGAGTTCCTAGCAAACCAACTTAAGCAAACCCATTAACCCAAGCAAACCTGGCCTCTTGTGGCTTTTGTCATGGGAGTCATGGGACATACAGCCAACAGCCATAGAGTGCCATAGCACCGAACAAAAACATAGACACTTTTTTCTGAAACCAGATTGAACCTTACGAAAGCGTATAAGCGCCACATGATATATTTCTTTTAATAATTGACAGATATAACTGTCAACTAGCCTAATTGACAGATACTAAGTCGTAAGTAGTATACTTGACAGATACTAAGTCGTAAGTAGCATACTTGACAGATACTAAGTGGTAAGTATAGTATACTTGACAGATACTAAGTCGTAAGTAGCATACTTGACAGATACTAAGTGGTAAGTAGTATACTTGACAGATACTAAGTCGTAAGTAGCATACTTGACAGATACTAAGTGGTAAGTAGTATACTTGACAGATACTAAGTCGTAAGTAGTATACTTGACAGATACTAAGTCGTAAGTAGCATACTTGATAGATACTAAGTGGTAAGTAGTATACTTGACAGATACTAAGTCGTAAGTAGCATACTTGACAGATACTAAGTGGTAAGTAGTATACTTGACAGATACTAAGTCGTAAGTAGCATACTTGACAGATACTAAGTGGTAAGTAGTATACTTGACAGATACTAAGTCGTAAGTAGCATACTTGACAGATACTAAGTGGTAAGTAGTATACTTGACAGATACTAAGTCGTAAGTAGCATACTTGACAGATACTGGCTCAGAGCTAGTCGACTTATCAATGATGATTCAACTGTAACATATCAATACAACAAAATACTGCATAAGCTCTTGTATGACATTTTTTTTTTAATTCTTAGTGTTCGACCTCGTAAAGCCTCATGAACGGCTGAACCGGCTCAACAACCTATATATTTTTGAAATCAGAAAAGGAGGATTCTCAGTTCATTCGAAAAATATGTATAGGGTGTTCCATTTAAAATAACGAAGTTGGTACCCATTTCTTATATCAGCACCTCGTACAGTGAAGATTTGGAGACTGGTTATAAGTACTAAAATACAAAATAAAAAGACCAAAAAATACCACAATACGTATTTTGGCAACTAAGTTGCCATCCTCAGTAGACCTGTAAAAATGATTATAGCTGACTCGCATAGTGGCTGACTCCTTAGTATCTTTCGGATATTGCAGGTCGACCTCTAGACAATATCCGAAAGATAAATCGAAGGAGTTATAGCTAATCATTTTTACTTTACAGGTTGGCAATTTAGTTGCTGAAATACGTATTTAGGTTTCTCTAAATATTATGGTATTTTTGGGTCTTTATATTTCACCTCGTACAATTTTCTGGATGTTGAGAACACACCCTCTACAACCTACAACTTTTGTATTTGAAGTTTGTTTCTATCTTCAATGATAAACCCTGTAGAAGCTCTTTAAATATTCAGGGTGTTTCTTGAGTACGTGTAAAAAAATCAGGAGCATGTTGCTGGCGTCAAAATAAGAAGAAAAGTTCGTATAAACATTATATGTCCGCAAGTTATTCATTATTGAGATACAGAGTGTCAAAGGATTCTTATTCCTGTTTTTTGGGAATAAATTTGGTATCTCACTCGAATTCACCAAAAACCGGAATGACAATGAAACTTTGACACTCTGTATCTCAGAAACGAATAACTTGTGGACATATGTTTATAAAAACTTTTCATTTTATTTTGACGTCATCAACATATGTTCCTGAATTTTGTACACGTACTTAAGAAACTCCCTGTGTACAGAAATGGCCCTGTACATGGTGCAGATTTTGATTCTGAAGTTAATTGTTGGGAATTGAGCAAATTGTTATTTAATATATAAATTTAAACATTGTCATGCAAAAATTGGACGTCCTCTGATTCCGAATCCGAAGTGATTTTCATCCTATCTTGTCTCCCTAATCCATTGTTGTTGGTTAGGTTGGCATTGTATTCTTCTTCTTCTTAATCTTCTTTTTTTTTTGGCGATGGCGAGTTTCTTGGCCTATCTGTCAAGTATACTACTTACCACTTAGTATCTGTCAAGTATGCTACTTACGACTTATGCTGCTATTCTGCACACCACTACAGACTCTGTAGGCTATGTAATATTGCATATTTATAGAATGTAAGGAAATAGGTATTCTGCCAGTGTGATTTTGTTATATTTCTATAAAATGACATAACATAGTATGTAGCATTCTTCCAGACCCGATTTTCTCACTGTAATTGCTTATATAGGTTATAAAATAATAACAATTATGGATGTTATGAGAAATCTTCAAATTTTCGGATTTATCATTCTAGAAGAAGCTGGGAGGTAGGTACCATAAGGAATAAAAATTGATGTTCATTCATAGTATCAATCAATTTTAGGAATTATATGACCATAGAGAAAAGGACAATTAGATAGTAAAAATCCTTTTGAAATACCAGATGCAGTATTTAAAATTAAAAATCTTTTTCGATTAGACAAACCAATGGCATTTGAGTTGATCAATTCATTAGAACCCCACTACAGGGCAAGGATATCCCATAATGCTATTCCTTTTCCTTTCTAGAAATTATCATGATTTATTGAAGTATTATCACATGTTTGTCTGAAATAGTCAATGATACAATATAATTGAGATAGATATAATTACTTTTTTCTGTGACGGGAAAAAAGTTTGGCATTTCATCTCTGTTGGCAGGTTATAAAATGTCACTTTTCATAAATTACTTTTTTCCCGTGGGAAAAAAGTGAGTACTTCTTTCCCGGATATATATCACATATATATACTCTGTTAATGGCTTTTGTTGTGCTATAGTTCCGAAAAATGAGTCAATAATACCGTCTCCGAGAAAGAACTGCAAGTCCTTTTATCTTCCATTCGACTTCGCGGTTTCCTATATTACTAAACAACTACTGAATTCGCAATTTTTCAAAATCAAATCACAGAATTGAACTGACAGAAGTGACATCAGATATTTGATTACTTCAAAAGAATGATAAAGATGTCTATAAAACGCAGGTGTCCCTACTGTTAAAAACTTGAAATTTCACGTCGATAATTTTCAGATTTCGAAATAATGTAATATCTCCTCAATATTGATTCGTCCTTCCTTCTGCCACAGAAAAAAATAGTGTATTATACACGGGAAAAATATTAGATTTTAGCTCACGGTTTTTTGTCTCCCTCCGCTACGCGTCGGGAGACAACACAACCTGGAGCTAAAATCTACTACTTTTTTCCCTTGTATAATAAATAACTATTTCTGAAATATCCATATCCAAATGTTCATTATTATTGAAATAAAAGTACCATAGTAAAAGTACCAAAACAAAGCAGACATGTGAGGTTAATGAATAATGAGTAGCTATGAGCTATGAAGTTAGCCATCTATCAATATTCAGTAAGCGGACAGGTGTAGATTCCGACACGAGGTTGAATGTTTGGCAGAATACCATGCTCTGTTAAATTTACAGAATCTGTAAGTACGTCTGTTACAGAGTCTGTATCATACATACCTTACATAAATATTTAAGCTACAGTGATGGTCGGCAGAATAGCAGCATTAGTATCTGTCAAGTATACTACTTACCACTTAGTATCTGTCAAGTATGCTACTTACGACTTAGTATCTGTCAAGTATACTACTTACCACTTAGTATCTGTCAAGTATGCTACTTACGACTTAGTATCTGTCAAGTATACTGCTTACCACTTAGTATCTGTCAAGTATGCTACTTACGACTTAGTATCTGTCAAGTATACTACTTACGACTTAGTATCTGTCAATTAGGCTAGTTGACAGTTATATCTGTCAATTATTAAAAAAATATATCATGTGGCGCTTCTACGCTTTCGTAGAACCTTGAATTGAATCTGGATAATCTTGTTTCGAAAGTCATGCCATTGCCATGCCTTTCGTATATTTCATCGTGAACGCGAACAAGAAATCACGAAAAGGCTGTCTCATTTCAAGGCTGAATCTGAACTTTTATTGAAATATTTACATTGACGCTAAAGTCTAAATAGCGGATTCCATTGGTAAAACCAGTGCGCACTCAGTGTGCACTAAGTGCATAAATACCGCACCAGTTCATGCCCGATGGAAACCGCTTATGGGCAGGAACTGGTGGAGTGTTTCTGCAATTAATGTATATGTTTCCTTCTTACTCGCATATGTTAAACAGAGGTAACTCTAAACTCAGTGGAGAAACACTTCATCATCAGTTCCTGGCAATGGAATTCGCTGTTAGGCCTAAGGCCTGTTCCTTTTCCGTGAAACTGTGGCAGTGAACTACACTTTTTCCAAAATAGCGTTCTTTTCCTTTAGTATTTTGCTTTTCCGACTACACCTTGGTTATATTCCGAATTCAACTGGTCAGTACTGTCAGTAAATCTACTGACTTTTGAAAATCTGTGTTCCGACATAAAAAATCTAAAATACAGTGCTGTAATTTGGAACACATTTTCATGGTTTTCATCGATAATCAGCAGCAGTTGATCAGCTGGTAAAATTTGAATATTATTCTCAGCGTCAGTTACTTTAATAACAGGCATTTTCTGATATTGAATATGCTATAATTAATTTATTATTGATGAGACAAGACTTATTAATGTTTAAATAACAACGGAAATTAAGACTGAAAGAAATGTGAAATTCCTCCCCCCTCCAAAATGATAACAGTTTACTGAAGCCACACTACCTTTCGACTACCTTTCGATAGTCAGCA